AGGAGTGTCTTGCGATAGTATTGGCCACCTCAAAATTCCGCCCATACTTGTATGGCAGACCCTTCAAGGTTGTAACGGACCATCATGCGTTGTGCTGGTTGGCCACTTTTAAAGACCCTTCTGGCCGACTCGCTCGATGGAGCCTACAGCTTCAGTAGTTTGACGTGAAGGTGGTCTACACGTCTGGTCGTAAGCACTCCGACGCAGACTGCCTCTCAAGAGCAACTGTCGGCGTACCCTCAAGCCATGATGACGACGATGCCTTTCTTGGGCCTATCAGCAGCAGCACCTTTGCATTACGGCAGCGCTCAGACCCGTTCTTACAACAGTTGATCAACTACATCGAAGAAAAGGCCTCCATACCGCCTGCACTGTTCAAGCGTGGTTTATCCTCCTTCTGTGTGCAAAACAGGGTGGTCTTTAAAAAGAACTGCGCACCGAATAGGGCAGCTTACTTTCTTGTCGTCCCAAGCAGCCTCAGAGAAGAAATTTTACAGGCGTTACATGACGAACCCACTGCCGGCCACCTTGGTTTTACACGCACACTCCACAGAATTCAAGAGCGATACTACAGGCCCCGCCTCTCCTCAGATGTTGCGCGGTACGTCAAGAGTTGCCATGAATGTCAGCGCCGGAAGAGACCTCCAACAAAACCAGCTGGATTGCTCAAGCCAATTGAACCCCCGTCGAGACTATTCCAACAGATTGGTATGGACCTGCTTGGACCTTTCCTCACGTCAACATTCGGTAACAAGTGGATCATAGTGGCCACTGATTACCTCACCCGATATGCTGAAGCTAAGACCCTTCCGAACGGCACAGCCGTAGAAGTTGCCAAATTTTTTGTCGAATCCATTCTCCTCCGGCATGGCGCACCTGAGGTACTAATAACAGACAGGGGAACGGCGTTTAGGTGGATCTCACTCAGGCAATTTTACATTACAGTCATACAGATCACCGAAGAACAACTGCGTACCATCCGCAGACAAACGGTCTCACGGAACGCTTGAACAAGACCATTGCCGATATGCTCGCTATGTACGTGGACACAGAACACAAGACCTGGGAATTAATTCTGCCTTACGTGGTCTTCGCCTACAACACCGCGGTGCTGGAGACCCCTAAAATGACACCATTTAATCTCGTTCATGGGAGGGATGCCGTTACTACCCTGGACGCCATGCTGCCTAATGTCACCAATGAAAACAACCTAGACGTGGCCGCCTACCTTCAGCGCGCAGAAGAAGCCCGGCAGCTTGCGCGTCTGCGCATAAACGACCAACAGCGAAACGACGCAAGACGCTACAACCTGCGGTGACGCGATTTAACATACAGGCCAGGTGACAGAGTCCGGGTTTGGACGCCCATTCGCCGCCGCGGATTAAGCGAAAAATTTATGCGCCGTTATTTTGGCCCATACAAAGTCATCCGTCAAGTGGGTGAAGTGGACTATAAAGTGGTCCCTGATGGGGCTAGCTCATCCCAACGACGCCGCGCACGACAAGAAGTGGTACACGTCGCCCGTTTAAAGCCCTGTCATGCGTGCTAAAGGACGCTCCCTGTTTGCATCTCCTGTTTTGTTTATGTGCACATGATTCGCGCTTATTTGTCATTTACCTTCGTACAGGCTGTCCTTTTGTTTTTGTTTTATTTTAAACAAAGCATCGGGTCGATGCTTACGTTGAAAAGGGGAGCAATGCCGCGAAGCGTATTGCGGATAGTGTTACGCATGCCGATACCGCCGGCACGCGGCCTTATCGTGGTCCAGGATGCACCGCGATTCATCTGCGAAGATCGTGGCCGCACGACGATCATTCGTTGATTACGAGATAGCCCCAGATTCTACGAAGACAGTATCTCGGATGGAGAACGCGCCTTGCAATCCAGTGGGGCATTGTGTTCCTCGACGGCCGTCGAACACACTGTCCACCACCCGCTAAGCCGATGTGTATATTTTCCTTTAGTCGGCATAGGTCCGCCAAATAAACGAATTTCCTTGTATTTCTACGAGCCTCCCGGTCTCCTGTCTTTGGGCTACCCTCGCTCTTACGTGACAATATGTTGAGCCTCGGTAATTTCATCAAGAGTATTATGCAAACCGAGCCGCAACAACATATCATTTGACGTACTCACAGGCAAACCGAGCACCGCCTTAACGGCTTTTTTAATTAAAGCTTCCGATTTGTCTTTCTCCCCATTTTTCCAATTTCGCATAGCAGCTACTTACAAAAAATGGAACAAAATAAATGCGTGAACCAAGCGCATCGCACCTTCTTCTCCTAGTTATATATGCCTGTTAGAGATCCTTCGGATAAGTCTTATGGCCTTCTGTGCCTACTTCGTAATAAGCTGAACAGTTCTAATATTCGATCCATTTGCTTCAATTACAAAACCAAGGACGCTAATAGCAATGACTTTTGGTACCAATGAACGATTTCTAGTAGAAACTGTAATGCGAATCTCAACTTCCGGTACCCAATTCTTCGGCCTATACGACCTAACTTCTTGGATTTGAAGATTAACAACTCCGACTTTTTAAAGGAGCACTTGAGTCCCATACGAGCCAAACAGTTTTCCGTAAGCGTTACCACCTCCTGCAGCCTATAGCGTCTCCTTCACTGCCACCGACGCTCAATATCGTGACATCGACCACGCAGATTGTATAGTCAATACCCTCGACAGTGTCCAGTACGTCAGCTAGCTTTGACATCGCCGATTGAACAACATTAGCGAGACTACGGATCCTTGTGGTGTACCACGACAGCCCAATATGAAGACTTGATCTGCCCCAACCTGTCTTTCTGTCCTCATGGAAAGCCTTACCAACGAGAAAAAGCCGTTTCCCAGATTCAAGTCTGACAGCACCTGTAGAATGAAGGAGTGTCGGAGATTGTCGAAAGCTTTTTCCACATCAAGTCCAAGAAGTACCTTAGTGTCCCTTGTCCGCCGATCAAGTCGGTGATGCTTAATTCTGGGCATAGCATCTTGAGTCAAAATGCCGGGACGAAAACCTATCATCGAGTTCGAAAAGACCCCATTTTCCTCAACATAACGCGTTAGCCTGTTTAAAATGGCATGCTCAGCGACTTTCCCCAAACACGATGTTAGCGAAATTGGTCCGAGATTTTTTCAGCGCTACGCTCTTGCCCGGTTGATTACCGAGCCGGTATTTTTGCGAAGCCTCTGCGCCGTCCATCTCTGCCCCGTCATTCAGCCAGCTCGACTTGTGAACCGTCATCACCTGGTGCAGACTTCGTCGGAAGTCTTGATTTCCAGTTGGACACCGTCCGCCATCCTAGACCTTCAGTAAATTCCTCTGCTGACAGCACTTCCCCTTCTACTTGATAGCTGCCATGCCGGACGCTCGTCCCGCCACGTAGGGCTGCCTGACCTACTTTTGGCCGTCCACGGGTCGTTTTTTTTTTACTTTAGCCAAGTCTTCGAAAACAAACCGACGCGATTACACGCGATCGACAAATCACGCACGGTAGCCCACGCGTGGCCGTTACTTGGATGGCTTCGGTATGTCATCGCTTGAGGAGTGAATTTCGGCTCGCATGCGAGCGCAAAATTTGGACCTGTATAGTAGCGCCAGAGCTACATGCTTCGACGCACGACAGCGGTCGCGACGAACCCGACCGACCACCACCACCATCGCCACCACCAGCCGCGAGCCTGAAGAATGCAGATAGGTAAATAATTTCGCGCGCCGCAGCGATCGCATTCACAAGCTCGCGTGCTTCTACGGGAATCGAGCTACTCTGGAAACGCCACGCGCATGCGCCGCTGCCTCAGTTTCCCAGCATAGGCCACGAAAGCAGCGCCGCTTTTCACGCTCTACTTCTTTGACCTTGTAGGCCGCATAGGAACAAACAAAAGTGAACAATAACATACATATTTAAAATTTAGGCCCTTACTTCGGTGCTCCTTAAATATTCTCAGCAAAGTGATTATGGCTTCATATTTGTGGTTCATGGATGTTGCGCTAAGGGCGCGAAATGCCGGTTTTGATTACTTTTGAGCGTAATTTAAAAATATAAATACAACTTAGATCGCGGAAAGCTTGCTGTTACCTGCTACCATATTTCACGCTCTTTTCCTTTTCACCGGAATCCAATAACCCGTTGTGGCCATTTGTGGGTCTTTCACATTGCTGCGAACGCAAACATTAAGGGGCTATGACACACATCTTTGGATCATAATCCTTGTTATGTGAATTAATCTTTGTGGACTGACAAACAACCTGAAAGATTCTCAGCCATTTCAGTCGAGTACCTAATTCGTAATCCATTAATCCATTTACAATTATGGAGCGGCATCATAGTAGAGAAACACACTCGCGAGCCGTCGAGCCGTGTCGTAAAAGTTTCATGCTGTGTGAGCGCCCGCGTTTCGGTGAACGGTTTCGTTCCCTACTCACATGGGGGTGCAGGACCACACCAACTAGGTTTCACACTACGTGGGCGCGTACACTTCACAATGAAGAACAGCCCAGCACGATCGAAACAGAGGAACAATGGGAAGCACTGCTGTTCCGCCAGGCTTTTGACGATCAGCTTTGGCCTAACTAACCAGTCGTTGTTTATCATCTGCTCCGCATCGTTAACGTGATTATAACGAACTTTTCTTTTATGGTTACTCTCGCTTTTCGAAGAGTCTGTCTAGCTGGGAGGTCTTCTTGTAGCGGTAGACAGCGACGAGCTGCAAGTGCACAGCTCTGCACGTGCGCGAAAACGGGCGGCAGAGGGGCGGAAAGAAAATGACTCAACCTGTATTTCCAGTTCTGCAAGAGATGGCGCTGCCTGTGCAGAGTTGCTCTTTCTTTCGTAGTTTCCACACAGAACACCTGTTTCCACGCGTCGCGGCATTACTTGGCGTTGCATCATCCTTTCCTTCTAGAGCTTGGAGTTCGCTCGGCAGCGTTCTGAGGGGGAGAGGAAGCGCGCACTTGGCGCCTTTTGATGCTTGTTTATTGGTTGCGTCGGCGTCTGTCGCGTCAGATCGGCGCCTGCCGTTCGCACAGCCGTCAGAAATCGGAAGGCGCGCGCTTTCTCGAGCGCTCGTGTGTGCCACTTGCCCCGCCACTCGAGTGGCCACTCTTGACGAGAGTGTGTTTTTCTACGATCTCACCACCATGTCTGACCTTCGACGAGTGCACCGTTTCCGCGACCAGGCCGTCGCAGGCATCAACTGGCGACCAACCCGCTTTGTCGACGAGGTGCCCAGTCTGCGTGTGTGTTGCCTCTGCCGCATGATTCCCAAGACGGTACTGGCGCTTCCCTGCGGCCACCTCCTATGCCAGTCGTGCCTCGCAGCCAGCTCCCATGGAAGCGGTGGACGGTGTCCCTTGGATCGAGAGCCGTTCAAAGAAGCGGAATGTTCCACCTGTGATTTGGCTACGAGATCAGTGAACGCCTTGAAGGTGAGAAAATAATTCCGGTTATTATTTGGAAGAATTCTTTTGAATATGGGCGTGCACAGCCATGTGAAACTTGCTGTACCGTGTACGCGAGCTCGGGTAATTATTGCTTTACAGCCAACATTTATCACGGAACTTGTTTTAGGGGTGAATTTCCCGAAGGCACTGGTCTGTCCATCCCTTGTATGTATGTACGTGACCGCGCATAGTTCCACCTTTGCCAACTGCCCACTACTTCGTCCTTGTAAACATACCACTGCACCCCATCACTGATCATAAACAAATACTGCCGAAATGTAGCCAATCTGAAATGCAAGATGGTCGTTCGCCCAACTCTTCATCATTCGCTTCGTGTATATGCTGTGATAATTTTTTACTGCGTATCTTGAGTCGAGATATTAAATAAGGATTCCTAGGAACCGTGAGGCAAGACGTTTTAGCCTTGAGCTGCTTCTCGTGCAGTAACTGAGATGACTAGAGGCGTACTATCTTGGTCGTTAGACGTACGTTGTTTCGTAGGTAGCAGTCACCAGGGCCTCGATACGCTTGAATCAACCCATAGATTGTTGACGAACTTCGAAAGTTATTAGAAATCGGCAGAATAACAAGATTACTTTGGCTCAGATATTAGAGTGACACTCGGGTGCCATGAAAAAATGCTCGGGTAAAATCGGTTAGTACCGATCAGTTCATGCATTTTCGAAAATCTTGCCGCTGAAATCTATGCGCCCTGTCTACATGCTCAAGACTGATTCCGTATTTTATGAGCGATAACCGCTTCACGAGTCAAGTGGTTCAACATGCGTTCCTCCCAGTGGAAAGTGTTCAGATACCGAGGTGCTATCAACAAACATAAACTGTTCAGTCAGGTTATCTTGTTTCGAAGATAAAACATTGGTGTGTACGCTTGAGCTTCCACTTCAAGAACAGAGCGTGACAGCGTGATTGGGCCTCGTTCGCGGCTTCTCATTCGCTAACTAGGCCTTCCTTCTCGATGGGCAGCACGACCATGCCGCGACAATCGCGATGCGTGTATTCGGAATGCCCATGGCCGATAGATGGCGCGCTGTGCAATCCAAGATGGCTGCGCAGGGATGATCAACCCGCGAACTCGCATAGTAGAAGATAGGACGCGCGGACGTACTCCCCGTGCCGCTTTCACTAGATGAACTCTTGATTGTCAAGTGAATGAATATCGGACCAAAGTACTTTCCCAAACTATAGGAACTGCTGAATGTTCGCTACCTCATTTCGTGCGAAGGGTGGTGGTGTCAGCTGGTTGTCCGTGTATCAACGATGCTTTGCGTGACCCTGTGCGTGCTACATAAAACTGCGCGAATCAGAATTCACGTAGGGACCGAATGTCACTTCGAGGTAGTTTGTGCCGAGCCTGCCGGGTGATTTTGCGGCAGTAGTAGGCCACTAGCGAGTAACGCGCCGTTGCGGCTGCGCAGGACCGAATGTCTACCGTATAGCGATCGCTTGCAAACATAATGCGTCGTCGTTATGATTTACTATTTATTTATTACGTACTGCAGACCCTTAGCTACAAGCAGGCGGGCAGTTACAAAAGGACATCGTTGAAACAATAAGTTGCATAAGGATTGTTTGGGGTGAGTTTCATACACTATTAGGTAGCACAAGGACCGAAATACATAATTATTCCATAATAACGCTTGTACCGGACAAAAGAAAAAAATAAACACCACAAATTCATACTTCATATGTTCTGCGATTAAAGAAAAAATAAGTTCATAATAAATGCTAAACAATAAACACAATAATTTTCACTGTTGCGCTGTGAGCCACATGCAGCTGCCTATTTTACGGAACACTAGCATTCAACTTCCCATTACGTCGCGTTTTTGTCACAGCCATGATCAGACTCTAACATGTGTGCGATTCGCTGCACTCGGTTGTTGCAGGTTGCATCAGCGCGATCGAAACAAGGAGTATCGAAAGTAATAAACGCGTACGCTTTTCGCAACGCCGAAATTGTGAAAATTTGTCGAACAACAACGTTGTGCGGATGGTACCGGTAAAGTGCTGGGGAAGTTAGCGTGGACTGTAACAGCATATTTCGTTGCTCAAACGCCGATCTCGAGCGTATTGGCTGCATGCGGCGTTTCGTAATATTTACTGTAATTGGGCTCATGCAGTGCACACACACACACACACACACACACAGTTTTTTTATTTTGAGCTCGCTAAAGTATGTTATACAATAAACACAATCAAAGTGACTTACGAGCGTGAAAAAAAAACATTAACGCAAGACGGGACAGAAAGTGCAACTCGCTGCTCGTGAGCTCGCAGCTCATCGTTCATCGTCGCTGTCACTCTCGGCGCGTTCACAACCATCTACGTACCGTGAAAAAATCCTCGAAATCTAGACAGTTTCTTTGAACATCACTGCTAAAAGTAATCTGAGCAATTCTTTCCGCTGAACGTCTTCCATAGCATCAACAACGCGTCATTTCACAATCGATGCACCGTGTCTACGCGTGCAAGAGCGATTCCTTATTTTTCGATCGATAGCCGCTTCACGAGTGAAAAGATTCAATATACATTCATCCCAAATTGGGAAACGAAGTGTTCAGTTACCGAGTTGCTATCAACAAACTTAAGCTGTTCAATCAGGTTATCTCGCTTCGAAAATAATCAGACGCGGAGCAATCAGTCTCTATGCGGCTGCATGCTTTCTTCCTGCTTTCTCGAGGGCCTGGTTATATCTTGGCAACTAAGTGACCCACGGGTCGCACGATAATTAAGTTGTCGTGGTTTTTCGATTTGATTCCTCTGTCACCGAATATCACTTGCCTTACTGTGACTCCTCATGCCCCGCCGCGGTGGTATAGTGGCTAAATTGATGACCCGCAGGTCGCGGGATCCAATCCCGGCAGCGGCGGCTGCGATTTCGATGGAGGCGCAAAATGCTGCAGGCCCGTGTGCTCCGATTCGGGCGCACGTTAAATATCCGGAGCCTTCCACTACGGCGTCTCTCATAATGATATGGTGGCTGTGGGACGTTAAACCCCTCATATCAATTACAGTGACTCCTCGCATTAAGTGACGCCTGTGTAGTGGCCATTTGCAGGCATAGTATAAAGTATTTGCGTGACTCTGTCTCTGAACGCTTGCTTCATAATGATTATGGTGACGATGATGGTGATATGAAGTGGTTATTGGCTTGAGGGCCGGTGATGGTAAAAGAGCGCCGAGAAAGTAGTTAAAGTGTTATAATACTATGTAACGTGGCTGTATAATAGCCTGTAATACTGTGCACAGGGCCTATATAATTATTAAATCATGTGTTAGGCGACAGTTCAATGAATGAAAACGGCGATATCGGTGAAAATGTACTCCAGTTTGGTAAAATACGAGGGAACTATTACTTCGCAATCACAGAACTGCCCCTTTTTGTATGTCCCTGCCGATGCGGCTGCTTGAATTTATATAAAAAAATGAAGTGGTGCATAACTGTAGGAAAGCTCGCGAAAAAAGGGGCGCAGCATTGAATGTGACACCGGTGACCTGCCGCTGAAGAGGCGTGATATTACGAAATGTTTTGGAAATGCGGCGATAACATGTTATCGGTAGGCCAGTAATTTTACTCGGGTAAATCTTATCAGCTTCTTTGTAAATGAGGGAGTAAATGACAGGAAAGTAACTGGGAAAAAATGTTTATGCTTAAAAATAAACTTTAGATGGGGTGATTCTGGGAAATATTTAATATATCTAAAAGAGCTTGCTTATGAATTGCTTGTTCAGCTGCACAAGTTCTCTTTGAAGAGTTCAAAAGAGAAACAGAGGAATTGATAATATTTCATTTCTATGGAGTGTCATGTGAATATGGCAGAAAATATGCTCTACAGTGCACGTCTCTGTTTTGAAAAGATAACTCGCATCTCCGAAACTTCTTGTCTTCATTTGTTTCTTTCTTCCTTTGCAACGAAGGTTCACTGCTGGAATGATGGACGTGGATGCAAATTTGAGGGAGCCATGGAGATCATGCTGCGACACTATGAAAACGAATGCACATTCCATGCCGTGGAATGTTTCCGATGCGGCGAGCAAGTCCTGCACAGGGAACTGCCAACGCACTACGCAGCCGGATGCAGTGCAGCTGTTTGTTTAACTAGCACTAAGGACACACCATCGGTCTCTCAAGCCTTGACCCGCCAAGATGTGACGGCTGCCCTCGTAGAACTTAAGACGCTGCTGAAGGGCGCCAATCAGGAGCTGCTGCTACCTGCGATTCAGAGTCAAATAAATGAGCTAACTGAACGGATCAGGAACTTGGAATCCAGGTCGGCCACGATCACTCATGCTGTCGCGGCAACTGCAACGTCAGATATGGCTCGAATCGAAGTGCCGAGTCCCTCGGCCTCGGTGAAGAGGGAAACTTCTCGGCAGAATCCAACTGAAGAGGCAAGCACGTCGTCGACGTCCCGGTCCAGCTCGGGGGAGAAGTTGATGCCTCAACAGCTGGGACCCCTTGTGGACTTGTCACAAGAAGCTGTCAAAGGCATGCGCAAAACTTCATCGCAAGATTATCCTCAGCATGCCATTACTTATGTCCGTGAGGACGCTCGATGTCAGTTGGAGTCAAGTGGGCTGCTGCCAACAGCAGTTACGTGGAGGGAAATGCGTGGAACCATCAAATATATTCTGACGCTCGGAAATTTTTTTCCTTGCTGGTCGCGCAGCGTAGACAACTATGCTGATGCCACAGTGTTGCACACAAGGGACGCGTACTTGACATTTAAAGTTTTCTGTCTCGCTGACTTTTGTGTGGATATTACGTTTCATGGCGTGCGTGGAGAATCTAAATGTTTGCCCCCCGTTTTTTTCTGCAAGGTCTACTCTCTGAACACAGGTAGAATTGTTCCAATGTCTACGTCTGAAGAACTGCAGGACTGTAAGCACGATCAAAACCTATGGACGCATCGTCGCCGCATATATGCCATAGGCTGTAGTACCCTGTTACAGAGAAACGACAGAGTCGGAATCAAGGTAGAATTTGAGCTTTGTCATCAATGAGAACTCCCGGGCGCACACTTCAGTGCGTACTTTTCGTTTAGTGAGTGAGTGCATTCTGTTTCTTTACTTTGTATGTCCAGCGATATCGGAGTTAAGTCGCACGATCACACAACCGTGAAGCCTAGAGCGTGTTATGCCAGCGAGTCCTCGTCAAACGACCGTGCCTCTGAAAAAGGCAATCTGGGTCAAGGCCAGTCCGCCTGGCGCGATCACCTCGACGGCGTGAACACGCGCGGCGCCCCTCTCGCCCACGTGCATTGAGTCAGCGGCGCACGTGACAGCGAGCCGGCGTTCTCGTGCCTGGTGGTCTGAGGCATGGCGCGGCGGCCCCATTGGCGGAACCTGCCCTGACGACCAGCGGCGCTTCTGATTGGGCTTTTTGGTTGGACCCGGTGCAAATAAAAGAAGCCCTGCGGCGCGTCGCGATCGGCGGTCCTATGTGAGAGGCGTCCCCGTGTCGGAGTGCCGACATGTGTGTGAGTCAGCGGTCTTAGGCGAAAGGCTGAACTATGTGTTAGAGGAAGAGCTCGGCTCTTCGAGTCTCTGTCGGCCCCAGTGCCGAAATTGTAACGCCTCTGTATATATGCTGTACATAAACCTTGTTTAACTCACCGTCGTCTCGTCCGCTCGTCTTATCAGCTCTGCGCAGAAGCAGTCGCGAGCTGAGAAACATACGCTACCAAACGGCTGGTGACTTTCCCGGCGGAGTTGAAAGCAGTGGCGCCATCGGGACCGTGTTGGCGTCGCCGTCTTTCGCAACAGTGGTGGCTTCGGCGGGATCGGTCCGTCGTTCGCAACAGTGGTTGGCAGCTGCGGGATCGGCCGGCGTCAGCGACATCGATGCGGTGAGTGCCTGATGTTTTCCCCTCAGTTCACCAGACTACTCTAGCTCAGGTTGTAGTAGGTTAGAGAAGGGCTGTGTGAAGCATTAGAGTGAGCTTTGATCGTTTCAAGCAAAGTCGAAGTGCTTTGAAACCAAAGTTAATGCGGAGGGGGTAAACACGGGAGAGTGAAAAGTTGCTTGCGCGTCTTGCTAGTTGACTTATAGTGGGCACGGCAAGTAAATTGTTAACAGGGGCAAACAGCAAGAGGCTAGTGTGAACGATGGAGAACCTTAAAGTGAAGGAACTCATCGAAATTTGTGAGGAACTCGGCATTACTTTGGGCCGTGCGAAACGAAAACAAGCGATCCTTGAGATCATGAAGGATGAGGGAGTGTCGGCTGAGGAAGTCGATGAGGCCTGGGCGGATATCAAAGCACGCCGTGAGGAGGCTGAAAGGCGAGAAGTAGAAACTCGCGAACGTGAAGAAGCTGAAAGGCGCGAACGTCGCGAGCGCGAGGATGCCGAGAGACAAGAGCGCCTAGAGTTGAAACGCCTAGAATTGGCAATCCTACAGTGTTCGCAGGCGCCTAGCGTAGCTTCTCCAACAGTTCAGGTCAGCGGTTTTAGAATTCGGGACCAACTGCCACCGTTCGTAGTAGGCGAGGACATGGCGAAGTATCTCGTCAAGTTTGAACACGTCTGTGAGCGAAACGCTTTGGAGCGGCCTCTTTGGGCGCGGAACCTGCTAGCTCTTCTTCCCGGCGAAGTGTCCGACGCGATAACTTGCTTGTCGAGGGAAGCGTTTGAGAGCTATGACGAGGTTAAGGAAGTGCTCTTGAGACGTTATAAGTTGTCACCCGAGGCTTTCAGGCAAAGGTTCCGGTATGCTAAAAAGGGGAATGAGTCACACGTTGACTTCGCGTTTCGTCTTAAAGCCGATTTGATTGAATGGCTCAAGGGCGAAGGTGTTTATGACGACCGCGATAAAGTGGTGGAATGCGTTGCATTGGAGCAATTCTACCGCTGCATCGAGGAGGATGTCAAACTTTGGCTGCAGGACAGACTTGGAGACGTACAGTTAAACAAGGCAGCTGAGTTAGCTGAGGAGTATTATACTCGCCGAAAGTTGCATAGCAGGGCAGCGCGCGTTGAAAAGGATGAAAAGAAAGAGGGCTTTTTCAAGGAAACCTGATCAACGGAAACCCGTTCCGCACCGTAATTTCAAAAAGGACCCGTCTCTTACGAAGGACAGTGTAGGGGAAGGGCAAACAGAAGCGGAGAGATCGAGTGAGGTTTCTACCACACAGGCATTAGAACCGGAAAACAAACGGAAGCCGCTAATCTGCTACAACTGTAAAAAGGAAGGGCACATCGCGAGAAACTGTCAGGAAAAGTTTGCCTTCGCAACGATCCGAGAATCAGAAAAAAACATTCGGTTGTTGGAGCCGTATCTCCAAGAAATTAGGGTCAATGAGAAAACGTGCCGAGCACTTAGAGACTCAGCGGCAACCATGGACGTTGTCCATCCTTCATTGGTGTCTCCGGATGACTTCACAGGAGAATGCGCGTGGATTAGGCAAGTCGCCGAGGTGCAGAGTGTTCGCTTACCAATCGCCACGGTTGTCATTGAAGGCCCGTTCGGTAAGCTTCGCACCGAAGCAGCTGTGTCTGCCGCGCTAAATGATCGTTTTCCTTATCTTTCTCCAACAACTCGGAGCAGCTTCTCAAAGAGCAGGGCAAATCGTTCTTCCCCAACTTAGCGTGCATGGCTCTCACGCGATCGCAAGCGCGAAAGCTTTCGCGGAAGCTTGACCTGGTTCCATGCGGTGAACTCTCAAGTGACCTTGTCGGCGGGTCGATGGAACCCCAGAAAGGAAAGTTTCCGCATGAGTCATGTGAGCAGTCACGCGAGCGGCCCGTCGCCGAACCTAGCTGCGCGGTTTCCGGAGAAAGGGGAGACGACATGGCGCCATTGAGTCAGAGCGAGAGGGCTGCAACGCTCTCGCCTGTAGCGGAAAGTTGGAGCGAGCTGCCGAGAGTTGATCGAGAGACGCTCATTCGAGAGCAGCGTGAGGATTTCTCGATTGGAGCGCTAGTGGAAAGCCAGATTGAAGCGCTAGTGGAAAGCCAAATTGAAGCACTAGTGGAAAGCCAGATTGAAGCGCTAGTGGAAAGCCAAATTGAAGCGCTAGTGGAAAGCCAGAAAAACGCGGCACAAGTGCTGTCGAAGGAGCACTACGAGGAATCGGTGAAGAAGCGCGCTTTTGAAGTTGATAATCAGGTAATGCGGCTGCAGCCATCCAAAAGGAACAAGCTTGAGGTTGATTGGGAAGGGCCCGCCAAAGTATTATCGAAGCCTTGCGATACAAATTATGAAGTGAAATTAGGAAGGCGGCCGGACAAAATTTACAACTTGATGAAACCATACGTTCAACATCAAGCGGTCGTAAATCTGTTGTTGAATGCTTCAAAGGAAGAGGAAGCAAAAATTTTGAGTTCTAGTGAGGTAATTGAAGGGGGATCGAAAGTAATCCGGGAGCAGATAAACCTAGAGCCTAGCGTAAGTGAAGGAGGACCTGAGAAAGAGGACCTGAGAAAGATTGTTTCCGAGTTTGGGTATGTGTTGTCGGACCGTCCCGGAGACACGACGGTGATCGAACACGATATCGAGCTAAGCGGTGAGGAGTCAATCAGTAGCAAGTCGTATCGTTGTTCCCCTGTGCAACGTCGCAAGTGTGAGCCGCTCTTGGTGCCGCATAGGTATCGTCGCCTAAAAGTGGCCGGTTACTGAGGTGGAGCATGTTGCTCCACAGCGCAACTTTGACGTTCGCTAAAGAAAAAAAAAGGAAGGTAAACGCTAATGCAGGTGCATTGAGCAGGGCGTTCCAGCTAGTAACTTCTCAACCTTTCGGTTTCTCGCTGGCGATTCGGGGCAAAATTTTGACCTCATCACGACCTGGGCTGAGCGCTCTCGTTTAGAGTGATCTCAAGGGGCCAACTTTGTGGTATTCTAATCCGTTACGTTGTTGTACGTGGGAAAAAAAATTGAGTTGTCATTTTAAGGGTCTTTTGTCCCACATGTGCCTCTTGATGTAGAGGGAACAAAATTCCGATAGACACGTAGATAGGTATATGTTGTACTATACTTTGTCTGGTGTTCTGTCGGGTGACCGAAGGCACTTGCGTGTGTCGTGTGTTGTCTGTTGTCGATCCGTTCTTGGCAAGTTGCAGAACCATCGACAAGTGCTGAAACCGAAGATGGTCAGAAGAGACGAGTGAAGCTGGTCAGCAAGTTGTGGCGACAAGCCAGTGGAGCTGGGATCCGTCGTCAAAAATGGGATGTGTTCCCGGAACAGTCTGGAGCTGTATTCTCCCCATGGCCCTGGAGGCGAACCTGGAGGGACCTGGCGAACGAGCGCACCTGACATCCGAGCCCCGTGGAAGCATCTCGTCTTTCCGGTGCATTGTCTGGCGGCGGGGGTGCTGTTATGCCAGCGAGTCCTCGTCAAACGACCGTGCCTCTGAAAAAGGCAATCTGGGTCAAGGCCAGTCCGCCTGGCGCGATCACCTCGACGGCGTGAACACGCGCGGCGCCCCTCTCGCCCACGTGCATTGAGTCAGCGGCGCACGTGACAGCGAGCCGGCGTTCTCGTGCCTGGTGGTCTGACGCATGGCGCGGCGGCCCCATTGGCGGAACCTGCCCTGACGACCAGCGGCGCTTCTGATTGGGCTTTTTGGTTGGACC